GTAATGGGATGTTGGGATGATGGTCACATGACCAATTACCAAAAATGGTCAAAAACAAAAGTTGTAGCCCTACACTGTAGCTTCCTGAATCTGTTCAAATTATGTTCTGAAGTGCTCNCATTGTGGAGATATGAGGTAAAGGAATCCCAAAAGTGTCGTGTTTTTTTTTTTTTTTTTGCATTTTTTTCCATGAAAACAAAACCAAACAATATGATTTCAGTATATTTAGAAGGCTAAAAGAAAGGGCTACAACTATTGTATTGTGGGAAAAATGACCAAAAAAGGAAGGTGCATGCCCTAGAAAAGGAATGGTCAGATATAGACTACCAAGTTTACTGATAGACTACAAAAAAGTCAGACTCAACTACAAAGTTTACTGATAGACTACATAAGACTACAAAAGTCGGACATAGACTACAAATTTTACTGATACACTACAAAAGACTACAAAAGTTGGACTTAGACTACAAAGTTAGGGTTAGGGCTAAAAGGTTATCCAAAGTCAACCTAGCCCATCCATCCCATACATGGCACATATTTGATGGGGAAATGGCTGGGGAATATACGGATACATTGCAGGGACTCTATTCCATGTCTGGTTTGAGGAATCATATGCAAAAGAGAGCATGAGAGCCTTTAGAAAAGGCACTTTTTTAGACTACAAAAGTTTGTAGTGTCTGCTTTTGTCATCAGAAAAGTTTGTAGTGTCTGCTTTTTTATTGGAAAAGTTTGTAGTGTCTGCTTTTTCATTTGAAAAAGTGTGTAGTGTCCGCTTTTTTAGACTACAAAACTTTGTAGTGTGCGCTTTTTCATTAGAAAAGTTTGTAGTGTCTGCTTTTTGAGACTACAAAAGTTTGTAGTACATGTAGGTTATGGTGTCCTTGGCCCTGTCTAGGTTATGGGGATGAGGTTGAAGGATTGACATGATCTTACATATTGCCAGTGCTGCAGCATTAGTTTTTGACATCATGCACAAGTTGTCGTTCACATTAGGAAAGGCTATTCTAAGCTTTTCATATTGATACCTACTGTCCTATCTCAAAACTGATCTGCTGAGTTGACAAAAAATCAGCCCTCTATGTAGATATATATGCACAAGAATATGTGTATACATGGATACATGAATAGTGGATGACTTTCCATAAGCTTTTATTCAAGGGAATAGATTATTTCTTGATATCTGGC